ATAGTATGAAATTCCATATGTTGGAATGTAAATGGGTAAGTTGTGTAGTTACTGGATGGAAGTTGTGAGTTGCAGTGCCGTTTGGTTGATCATTAAATAAGACTAGTAGCGAAAGTTTTGATTGGATATCAAACATTTTATATAAGCATTACTTCTTTTAAATGGTACTGTATCTACTTGCATCATACGAAAGCTGTATAATTGTTGACTAGGAAGTTTTGTGTTTGCAGTGATGTATGATGCTGTTATTGAAAGTGGTTAGCAGTGCGGGTTAAAGATTTAGTGTTAAGTATGTTGTGCATGTAATAACCTAAGAGTTATAGCCAAGTACTTGTATTGTCTTATTATAGGAAGAATTAAGAGTTCAGGATGCTGAGTGTCTCACTCAAGCGACATAGTTTTTGCAAAAGTGAGATTGAGTCGTGCAGAATTGAGCATTCTGGAGTGTTCTCGCTCAAGCGAGATCAGTCTCGCTCAAGCTAGACAAGATAAGGCCTTTTCAACTGTCCCCTCGCCCAAGCGAGAAAGGATTTTGCTCAGGCAAGAATGCTGCTTGCTTAGGCGAGGTGAATCTCGCTCAAGCGAGGTGTTTCTTGCTCAAGCGAGAATAACAAAAATCTGGGAGGTTCCACTATCTGGTTTTCTCGCCTGGGCGAGAGAGAAAAGCTCGCTCAAGCGAGAATTAGCTCGCTCAGGTAAGAAAAGAGCTCGCTCGAGCAAGTGCACGCAGATCTAAAGGGGTATTTAAGGAGCCTCAGTACCAGAAACGTTCATTTTCCTCACCAGAAAACTTTCCTCTCTCATTTTCTCTCTGTTCTCTCACTTCTTCTCCTTAGAGAAAACCTTCTCGAATTCGAATTCCTTTCCAATCAAAGTGAGATCGTCTATCTCATCAAGATCTAGATCTGAACCATTCGAGTCGTATTTCTTACTCAAACGCTTGATCTATCTCTTTGGGATTCACTAGAAGCAAGACCTTGGAATTTGTTTCATGCGATAGATAATCTCAATTTAGCTAAGGATGAGTTTTTGTATGAACAAGCTGTAGAATAAAACTCAAACTATGTATGATTGAGTGTATTTCTCTGCTATATGAAAAATGTTTGGAATGCTGTGGTAGAAGATGATATGTTGAAATATTGTGACAAATGTACTGAGGATGTTAATATATGTGAAAATGTTCAATTAATATTTTGAGCTACTTAGATTCATTACGTAATATGTACTGAAATGTATATATATATATATATATATATATATATATATATATATATATATATATATGGCTGTGCTGTTAATGCTGGATGAAAATATATGTATTGCTGTATTGTTAAAGCTGAGAATAGATTTAATTCTGCTGTATTATGTTGATTTAACTGTGCTGCATCACATTCATTTTCATCATTCTAGAGTTGCATAGGATATTGAGCTATACTTGTCTAGATCTAGATACCGGGATGGGTCACTCCTAGACCAGAAACAATTCCTTTGGATTATTTAGGCTGTGAAACTAGTTGGAAATAAAATGCTGCATTTGCATTAGATGGACTAGTAATGGGCTGAACGTGCTGCATCAATTGATTGAGATTGTTGTGTTGATTGTTGTAAATCATAAGTGTGGTGCAAATAATTTTAATATTTTCATATTCTATAGTTATGATTCTTATTTATATAAGCTCACCTTTACACTTATTTGTGTTGTTGTGTGTGTGTGCTGTAATGATCGTATGATGGTACGTGAGCAAGAGTGACAGGTGGAGTGTCCAATTTACCTGCTGGGAAGTCTGGCTACAGAATAGTTCGGGTTGAAGATTTTGGAGATTTGTAGCTTAACTTTAGTAGTTTAGGTTTTAGTGTGAACCTAAGTCACTTGGTTACCGATCTAATGTTTTGATGTAACTATTATGCAAAGACTTTGTATTTTGAGCTCCATTTGGAGCAACTGTTGTAATTATGTAAATACTATGTCATTTTTGTATCGGTAGAATAGGGCTTTAGGTCCAGAGGATTGAAGAGATGTGGGAGAGAATTTGAGAAATGAATCCCAAATCCCTAAACCCCATTTTAAAACCTTTCTGATCGTGACACTCTCGCTACAGCGACAACTCTCGTTGCAGCAACGCCCTCTGTCGCCACAGCAAAAATCTTAGACGAAACTACATCCTGGTTTCTCAAAATCTTGCTACAGTGAGACCTTCTCGCTACAGCGAGAAGGCAACAGTTTGCCCGTTTCCTCCCAGGGTCCTCTCGCTACAGCGAGAACGCCCTGCATCTAGGCACTTAGCCTATTTCAAGCCGAATCCAGTCATGCACACATAAATACACACATCCATATACTTAATACACATAAACATCATTATTATGCACTTGAGTGCATGTTCCAATACTCATTCTCACACATATAAACATTGATAATTTATATTACCAAAATTTGGGCCGTTACAACTCTCCCCACCTTTAAGGAATTTCGTCCTCGAAATTCAACCAAACATATACAGTTACAAGAACAACACCAGATGCAATTCTCTCATTCTACTCTCCGTTTCCCATATGGCCTCTTCCTCATCACTTGAGCTCCATATTACCTTCACCAATGAGATCTCTTTACCCCTCAGCTATTTGATGCGGTGATCAGCAATTCTCACCAGATACACGTCATATGACAAGTCTTCTCTTACTTGAACCAGGTCAAGATCAATCACATGGGAAGGATCTGGCACATATTGCCTAAGCTGTGACACATGGAATACCGAATGTAGATTCGAGAGATTCAGAGGCAATGCGATCCAGTATGCAGCAAGACCAATTCTACTCAGCACTTTGAACAGTCTAATGAACTTAGGAGATAGCTTCCGAGATTTCAAAGCTCTTCCAACTCTGATCATAGGCGAGACCCTTAGAAACACATGGTCTCCCACCTGAAACTCCAACAGTTTCCTCCTCCTATCATAATAACTCTTCTGCTTGTCTTGTGCAACCTTCATTTTCTCTTTGATCATTTTGATCTGCTCATTCTGCCTTTGGACCATATCCGGTGCACATAGAGTCGCCTCTCCAGTCTCATACCAACATAATGGGGTTCTGCACTTCCGCCCATACAAGGCCTCAAACGGTGCCATTCCAATACCAGCATAGTAACTGTTGCTGTATGTGAATTCTACCAGCGGCAGACACTCTTCCCAAGTTCCCTACTGCTCGAGCACACAAGCCCTCAACAAGTCCTCCAGGGATTGAATGGTCTGCTCAGTCTCAACTTAGTCCCCAACGCCTATTGCAGGCTCTCCCAAAACCTCGAGGTAAACCTTAGATCTCTATCTGACACCACACTAGTCGGCACTCCATGCAGCCTAACTTTCTCCCGCACGTATAACTCCGCAAGTCTTTCCAACTTATACTTCATGTTGATCGGGAGAAAGTGTACAGCCTTGGTTAACCGATTCACTATCACTCAGATGGCATCATGGTTGTTCCTGGTCTTAGACAACCCAGAAACAAAGTCCATGGAAATACTATCTCATTTCCACTCAGGGATCTCCAATGGTTGCAACAACCCAGGCAGATGCTGGTGTTCAACCTTCGCCTTTGGCAAGTCAGGCATCTAGCCACATATTCAGCCACGTCCCTCTTTATTCCATTCCACCAAAAACTTTTTCGGAGCTTCTGGTACATTTTAGTCGCGTTGGGGTGAAAACTCATCCTGCTTTTATGCACTTCCTCAAGCACCATCTGCCTCAGCTCATCCACTTGAGGAATGCACACTCGGTTCCAGAACTTAATCACCCCGTTCTCATCACAATGGAACTCCAAGTCCTTCCCCTCACCTTTCTGTTTCATCATGTCTTTCAGGAAGGCATCTTCCTGCTGAGCATCTCGGACGTACATCAAAAAGTCGTTGTGAATCGTCGTCGCTCCGAGATACAAACTCCCTGGCCTCATCTCCATGGCTAAATTCATGTCCCGAAATTCCTCAATTAACTCCATTTCTTTCACCATCATTGCTGCCATGTGCAATGATTTCTGGCTCAACGCACTAGCTACCACATTTGCCTTGCCAGGGTGGTAAGACAATGTGAAGTCGTAGTCCTTGAGAAATTCCATCCATCTCCTCTGCTGCATATTCAACTCCTTTTGATCAAATAGATACTTCAAGTACTGAACACCTCGAACCTCGCCCCGTATAGGTAATGCCTTCATACCTTAAGAGGAAAAACCACCGCGACTAACTCCAGATCGTGTGTCAGATAGTTGACTTCATGCGGGTGCAACTGCCTCGAGACATAGGGGACCACTCGCCTGTCTTGCATCAAAACACAACCAAGTCCATGCCCGGATGCATCACAGTACACGTCGAATTTCTGCTCCGGGTCGGGTAGAGCTAACATCGGCATCGAAGTCAACCTTATTTTCAGCTCCAGGAAACTAGCTTCACACCCCTTGGTCCATTTGAATTCCTTTACTTTGTGGGTCAGCCTTGTTAAGGGCAAGGCTATCGTAGAAAACCCTTCAATGAACTTTCTGTAATAGCTTGCTAGTCCCAGAAAACTGTGAACTTCAGTAACATTCGTCAGCCTCAGCCATTCAGCCACTGCTTTCACTTTTGCAGGGTTTACCGTGATTCCTTCCTTCGACACTACATGCCCCAAAAATTGAATCTCTGTCAGCCAGAATTCGCACTTACAAAACTTTGTATACAACTGCCTCTCTTTTAGAGTTTGCAGGATAATCCTCAAGTGCTCGGCATGCTCCTCCTGAGTCTTTGAATAGATTAGGATGTCGTCAATGAACATCACCACAAACTTATCCACAAACTCGTGGAAGATTCTGTTCATGTAGTCCATGAATACCGCAGGCGCGCTGGTCACCCCAAACGGCATAACCAAGTACTCATAGTGACCATACTGCGTCCTGAATGCCGTCTTAGATACATCTTTGTTCTTCACCCTGATTTGATGGTATCCCGATCTTAAATCGATCTTCAAGAACATTGAGGCTCCCCTCAACTAATCCATCAAATCGTCAATCCTCGGAAGTGGATACTTGTTCTTGATTGTTACTGGTAATCCACACATTCTCATACTTCCATCTTTCTTTTTCACCAAGAGCACTGGTGCTCCCCACTGTGACACACTCGGCCTTACAAACCGTTTCTGGAACAAGTCCCCCACTTGCTTCTTGACCTCTGTCAACTCCACCGGTGACATCCTATAAGGTGCCACGGAAATTGGGCTTGCCCTTGGGATGAGGTCAATAATAGCAAACCCTATTTCCCTCTCAGTCGGTAGCTCAGAAACATCTTCGAGAAAAACTTCCAAGAAGTCCCTCACCACCGGAATATACTCCGGCTCTACCACGCTTTCGGCCTCCATTGAGAACATAATCATAAAGGCCTTGGTGTTTACCATGTTCTCCCACGCTTCCTGGCTCATAAGCCTTGGAACCTCTGCCATTGTCGCACCGAAGATCAAAGTCTTCTCCCCACAGTCCAATAGTACATGGTTGGTAGCCAGCCAATCCATTCCTAGAATTACATCCAGTTGAGAAAGAGGTAAACAAATCAAGTCCACCTCGAACTCCCTACCATGTACCATCATTGCACACCCCAGATACACCCATGACTTCACAACTGACTTACCCGTAGGGGTAGTCACCACATTACAAGGCAGTTCAGTCATATATAAATCCAGACTCTTCACACAGTCCATAGATATAAAGGAGTGCGTAGCACCCAAATTAAACAACACATCAAGAAATCGACCCTTAATAATGCATTTAGCTCGGATCAGCTCATCTGACTGTGAAGCCTTTGCCCCACTCATAGCAAAGACTCTACCAAGAATGCTTGGCTTTTGCCCCATACTCGGCCCCGTACTTCCTCTTGATTTCGGCCTCTTAGCTACACTTGCATTACCGCTTCTCTTAGTGGCCCAACACTCATTGGCAATGTGCCCCGACTTCCCACAGTTGCTACAAGTTATCCTCGGCTGTGGGCAGTCCTTCACCATGTGTGGCCCTCCACATCTGAAGCATTTAAGCGGCCCTCTGAAAGAACCTGATCTCGAGCCATTCCCACTGCTATTCTCTTGAGACGAACTCCCTCAGGATTGTAAACTATTCAAGCCTGAATACAGCCCCTTTGAGAACCTCGGGGGCCTTCTATCATGTCTCACCGGGCCAGCTCCCCTAGTGTCCACTATCTTCCCTCTTGAGTTAGCCACAAAGATTCTACTCTTACTCACAAGAGTGGGCAAGTCCGTCAGTTGAAACACACTAACTGCAGCCCGGATGTCTGGCCTTAATCCATGCTCAGACTGAGCACACAGATCCTCCACTTCATCACTATGCTGATAATGAGGCCAATACTTCATCAGTTCTTGAAACTTTGCAGCATACTCCCCCATGGTCATGCTTCCTTGCTTCAGCTCAAGGAATTCTCTGGCCTTCTGCTTTTTTAGATCACGGGGAAAGTAATTCCCTAGGAAAATCGCCTTGAAGGTCTCCTATTGGATGTAGCCACCCTCTTGTGGGAATGTCTGACCAGCAAACCTCCACCAGTCTTCCGCTTCTCCATACAGCAATGAAGTGGCATAGGCCACCTTATGCTCCTCACAGCACCCCATCGCATTGAAAACCTTTTCCACATCCGCCAGCCACCTTTGGGCTCCTTCAGGATTGAACCCTCCTTCAAACTTTGGAGGATCGTGCCTAATAAAGGCAGATAACCCTCGGTACTCAGCCGGCTCTCCGCCTTGATTATGCACTCAGGCCTCTAGCATTTGAGCTATGTGTTCCATGGGATCATTGGTGCCTTTAGCTCCTCTACCACTACCTCTACCAGACATATTCAATCTAGCTACAAGTCAATAACCATATTCCAACACATTAGATCAATCAATACATTTATAATTCAGGCAAACAAAACAACCAACACTTAACTTAGACGCCTCAGCTCGATACCCCAGTTTGGTTTGGATGAACTGCTCTGATACCAAAATTGTAACATCTTAAATTTAATTTCAATAAATAAGGAATTTCGCAAAATTTTGAAATAATAAAATTTTCATTTTCAATCCAAGTTTCATCAAACATTTCAAATAAAGAAAAGGGGTTACAAATTACATGAAACAGCTGCTACAGGACTTATTTAAATACAACAGTTTTCAAAATAATACCTGAAGTCCTATAGGAGTTCCATCCACCCCTTCACTGAGTCCGGTGCTGATCGTCTTGATTACCTGAAAAATGAATGTAAGGGTGAGTACTTTACACTACCCAAAAACACACAATTAGCATAGAGTCTCACCTCCAGCACATTTCCAATACATTAAACAAATGCAATCACAGGCAACATTATCACACAGCTTATGTCAATTTAACACCGATGCACTCACGACATCGGCAACATTTCATATCCATAAGTACAATTTATAAACCCGTGCATACGCACTCCAGCTACACTCACTGTGGCACTGTGATCATAGATTTACACCATGAATGGTCGCCAGTTATCCCCGCCTCACGGATATCACATGGGCAGTCATGGGTCGCTCAGTAAAGGTAGTGTGGTCAGAGGTCTAGTCAAGAAGAGAGTGTGTGGCCCGTGGTGCACCTGTTCCACAGTTGGTGTCACCACCACTCTCCATTTCCCAAGGTATTTCAACCGTCCTTATCTTCCACACCCCCAGTGTATCGCTGAACCATTCACAGCATATTACAACGGCGCTAATACGCCTATCCACACATATTCCATTAACGCATGCAATAGTCATGCTTACACATGGCACAACGCACATTGCATTCAAATACACGGCACTAGGCTCACATTCATTTTATATTACACGACACATAGCCTACAATTATTCATTCATATTACACAGCCCTTGAGCCCACATTTTTAATAACATTCATTCAATATATATATATATATATGGCACAAGTGCCCCATTCACAATGCTCGGCATACAAGCCCTCTTCTATCACACAACATCTAGCATATAATTCACATTCATTAATTTCGGGTAAACACCCTTTCTCCCATCCACACTCACACATAATATTCACATATCGCACATGGCCCACAACAATTTCCCACCCTATTACTCAGTCACATCACTATATTCTGCAGATAAACAGCAAATCACATACATTTGAGATAGGGTAAAGTCCCCCTTACCTTGGATTGAAGACCTGCACTTGGGTTCAACCTCGGAAGTGCTCCCCACACGATTTCCGGCCAAAAACATATGGAAGAACTCCATGAGAATCCAAGGAACCCAGAAACAGAGAAAAGGGGATGAGAAACGGAGCCCTAACCATTAAAACTCACCTCCAAGCATTTTCCACACAGATTCAACCTTCAATCAAGCTCTCAAACGGCTTTGGAGGCAATTAATCGGTAGAATAGGGCTTTGGGTCGAGAAGACGAAAGAGATTTGGGAAGGAATTTGAGAAATGAATCCCAAACCCCTTTTTAAAACCCTTCTGATCGCAACACTCTCGCTGCAGTGAGGGATCTCTCGCAGCAGCGACGCCCTCTTTCGCCACAGCAAAAATCTCGGATGAAACTGCATCATAGTTTCTGCAGAATCTCGCTACAGCGAGATTGCACCCAAAAACGCACTCCCCTCTGTTGCTCTTTCGCCACAGCGAGACGTCTCTTGCTACGGCGAGAAGGAAACAGTTTTCCCGTTTCCTCCTAGGGTCCTCTCGCTACAGCGAGAACGCCCTGCATCTAGGCACTTAGCTTATTTCCAGCCCAATCCAGTCATGCACACATAAATGCACATATCCATATACTTAATACACATAAACATCATTATTACGCACTTGAGTGCACGTTCCAATACTCATTTTCACACATAAACATTGATAATTTATATTACCAAAATTCTAGGCATTATAGTATCCAATAATAGCGTAGTAATGTGATTTAACTCATTAAAAAATAAATAAATCATTAATTATTTCTCAATACCATAATGTGGACATAACTTTAATAGCAACAACATAAGTCTCATGTATCCTCCCTTTGTGAGAGGGTAATGATTTGCTTAAAATGATCTATCTTATTTGGTAGGAAGTATTTGTCCACAGAGACTTGAGATAGTCAACCCCAAATAAGGATGGATCTAATAGGTAGAGAATACAACTAGGCCCTAACCTTAACTCTCTATAAGAACATGGACAATTTGAGCCTAATAGCATCCATAAAAACTTGGTGTAATGTATTCCTTAAAAACATGATTGTCATTATTTTATAATTACTAGTTCTAGAAATTGTTGTTCGATAATTCCATATTTTAGAGTTTTTTATGACTTGTTTTTATATCTTTGACCCTTATTTGATAAGAATTTTGCACTATTTTACTTGTTATTTGTGACAATTTACCATAAATAAGTTACTAATATTGATGCTTTTAGATCACGATTGGATGAAATTTGATAGAAAGCTGGGTCACGCTCAATAAGAAGCACGTCCTTGCTTCATAACTAGATTGGGAGTATTTCATGACTATACACAATCATGCTAAAGGCTATGTATGACCATGCTTATGAATTTGTAACTGATTTCAAATTTGAAAGTTGGAATTTGAATTTATATCCAAAATTTTGAGATTGATGTATTAGATATCTCTTTATAGATAAAATATATCTTTTGGAGACCAAATCATTATCTTTATCTCAGATTCTATACTCTATTTAAATAGGTCTCACACACTTGAAGAAGACACTTGACTTGGGGACTTTTGATGACTTATGGAGCTGTTTAGGAGTGGAGATTATTGGTGAAAACGTATGATATCTTTTCGAAGTATGAGCAAATCATTGGGAGCACTTTTTGGGAACAAGAACTCTTTTCATCTCTTTCACCTTGAGATTCCTTGAGTTTTCTTATCTATTATGAATGGGTTTGGATTTCTTTATAATTGCTTTCTTTGTTTATTTTATTATGAGTAACTAAATTTATAGCTAAGGTTATGGTGGATCTTTTGCATATTTTATGTGATCTTTATGTTTAATGATAATTATGATTTTCTTTTAAATTTGGTCTTGCTTTAATGTATTTATATTTATATATTTGGAATTGACGACTCTTAACATCTCATAATCAATTATATTGTGGGCGATCAAACCACATGTAGTTAATAGATCTATAGGGTAAAATAGGATAAAGAATTAAGTAGACTAAACTTAATTTTTCTCTTTTAATCGATTATTGAATTAACAAACTCATAGACTCTTTATGTTTTCCTTATCTTTTTACCTTGCATGACCATTGGGAGTAATAGATTTAGAGAAAAAATTGCTAACATTGTATGACCATTCGATGTTAGTAATGTTAGTATAAGTGGTTGACAATCATGGCAAAACCAAGATTTAAATTAAACTAAAAGTACACATAAAGAGGTGTGAAGGTAAAATCATAAGCCTAGGATTCATCTCGAATAGTTTATTGTTAGAAATTGCGTTATATTTTTTTTATTATATACCTTTTGATTACTTTCTCTTTATTTCTATTATTCACTATTTAAGTTCATACAATTAAATTATGATAGTTTGTTAATTGGAAAACAATATCTTTTGAACTATTTTGAGACTCTTTTATTTACTATTTGATTGGTACACTTGTCCACAATCATTGTTCTTTGAAACCTTATCTTAAACTTCTTCTATGAAGGTATTGCTCAATCTAGAGTCTACTTCTACAATGTTCTATAATTTATTGTTTAATTTGAAAGATTTGATTTATTTAAAATTTTATAGGTTTCTTTGAATTTAATCACCATTTATGTCAGGCTTGTAATTTATTATTGAGTAATCTATAATATTTTATACTTGTTAAATGTTAATTGAAGAATTATTTGGTATTGGAATAGATTTAGATGGAGTTTGAAATTTAAAAAAAAAAAAAAAGTGAACAGTGTCGGTGAACAGTGACGTACCATGATATCATCAGTAAAATCACTCTGACGTCACATATGCATACAGTATGCGCGCATAGTAT